CTAAACCAATGGAATAGTTATTAGTTGGTTGGGCGCGAAAAAAACAAATAGGTAGCGAAGCTTTTACAAATAAAGATTCGGGTAGGGTCGGGCCAAAACAACTGGGGTTTTTTTTTTTTTTTTTTTTTTTGGAAATTTGAAAGCCACATGTCAACATTTTATTAGCCTCCGAATGGTTCTTTACATTAGGAGTTCTGACAAAATAATTTTCTCGCGTGGATGGGGGGAGGTCCGTGCATTTGGAGAAAAAGTAAAGTTTTACAGTCTTTTTTATTTCCTTAGTACTTTTATTTTAAGTAAATATGTATCACTTGCATGAAACTCTAACTAAATGGGTGTATTTTTTAGGCAAAATCAACGTTGCAGACGGACTTACACAGTCCTTTTCATGCTGCAAGGCCATCTAAACAAGTTCATCGAGGCAATTCAAGATCATTTACACATGTCGAGCAGAAGAAGTTTCGTCAGTTCAGTCAAAGCTGCCCGACAATCCAATGTCAACCGACCTTCACCTAAGCGACATCCAGACAACCGGCCTTTGCTTAAGCGACATCCATAGTCTAGCAAAATGACTCTAGTTGTGTGCCTTTCAATACACTTTGAAGGGTCTTAAATGAATTTCTTGCACTACATGAATCAACACATGCATCAAGCAATGTTCAATAGCATTTAAGCGGACATTCTACACTCTCGACATAAAAAAATTGATGCCAACAAAAGACCCCCAACAAGTGTGTTGCGTCGTTACAGTGCACTTGTTGGAAGCAGCTCATTTTTTATTAAACCAAGGTTAGTCATGTAATCAACATAACCTGATCAACCAAAAAGAGCAGGTCTGCCGAAGCTAGGTAAGAAAGCTCGGGAGGTCACATCCAATCCTAGGAGGCAGATATGTCAGCTGGGTTGATCAGGAATGTCGGGAGACTTATATCATCTCGAGATCCAGTTAGTAGTTATAAAGATCAGAATAGGAAGGAAAACACTGGAATTGACATCCAATCCTAGGTTCTGACCAAGGCACGAAGCCTAAGACACGGAGCTTGTAGCCTGGGGAGAAAACATTTGAGATTGATATCCAACTTGGCAGAGTAATCGTGCATGAGACCTGAACTAGGAGGGAATGCCTATGAGACTTATATTCAACCCAAAAAATAGGTTCATAGACTATGAACTACAACCCAAAAGGGTGAGTCCAGAGTTTTTGAAGCATGACCCGAAAGTGTGGGTCCAAAGGCTATGAAGCATGATCCGAACAGGTGGGTCCAGAGGATATGAAGCATGACCTGAATGGGTGAGTAAGGCATAAAGCCTCAAATACCTGCTACCGTAATGAGAAATGTTAGAGGGGACTCACATTCAATCTTTAAGGTTATGGAAGGTAAGAAGGTTGGATTATCTCATATAATCTGAGTCATCTATTATGCTTCCACATAAGAAACCGATCAAGAGTTTACTGTGGTTCTTGTTGAGTGAAAGACCCATATTTCAGTCAGATGACCAAGAATCCTGATGTATACTGACTGGATAACTAATTCAGTGACTAAATAGTATGATTTGTTGAAAAGGCTGGGTTATCTCATTTAACCCGAGTCATCTATTTGCAGATTGAAGAGGAATGCCAACAACGACTAACATCTAACTCAAGAGCTAGTTAAAGTGCTCATATCAGGAAAGAAAGCACAGAGATTTACACCAGATTCTAAGATCCAATTGAGACAAAGAACCTCAGATATCTGCTACAATAAGGAGAAATGTCGAGGGTCTTACATTCAACCTTAAGGGGTACACAAGGTAAGAAGAATGGATTATCTCATGTAATCCGAGTCATCTGTTGTACTCCCTCATAAGAAGCCAATAAGAGTTAATTATGGTTTTCGCCAAGTGAAGCACCCATAGTTCAAACAGGAGGCTAAGAAGTTCGAGGCTTTTTGACTTAAACCGCAATCAACCAATTACTAGACAATATAGTCAAATGAGAAGGCTAGATCATTTCATGTGATCCGAGTAATATATTATGCCCTCATGAAAGAACTAACTAGAAATTCATATGGTTTGAGAGGCACGAAACAAGGTTCTATAAAGCTGAAGATGTCAATCTCATAGAAGATCCAACTAAAAAGTCATATGACTCGAGAGTCATCGTAACAGATGACTATAAAGCTGAAGGCATCACAAGAGATATTTTATAAAAGATCCAGCTAAAAAGTCATATGGCTTGAGAAGTGTTGTAACATTTGTCCATAAAGCCAGTGATGCTCTCGTAGGAGAACCAATTATTAGTTCATGTGGCTCGAGATACTTTAAAAAAAAAGTAATAAACGCTCTTCTAAAAGAAGCGACTACAAATTCATGTGGTTTGAGAGACATCATAATCAAATGGCTACAAATCCAATAATGCTCTCACAGAAGAACTGTCTGAAATATCATTTGGTTCGAGAAGAATCAAAGTCAAGTAGCTATGAAGCTAGAAATATTTTGAGGCGAGATGATCTTGTGAAAGAACCGACTGAAGAGTCATATGGTTCAAGAAGCATCATAAGAGGTGGTTATAAAGTTGATGACATCAAAAGATGAGATGTTATCATAAAAGAGCTGACGAAATAAAAATATGGCTTGAGAAACACAAGTAGTTATAATGCCAACGAAATAAAAAAAACAAGATGTTTTCATAAAAGAGACAAATAAATAGTCATATGGCTCAAGAAGCAACATAAAAGGTAGCTTTAAGGTAGAAGACGACAAAAGACGATATGTTCTCATAAAAGAGTAGCTAAAAAGTCATATGGTTCAATAAACATCATAACATGTGGTTATAAAGCCGAAGGAGTCAACAGGCGAGATGCTCTCATAAAAGAGTTGACTAAATAATCACATGGCTTGAGAAGCATCAAATGCACGACCTAATTTTCTATTCATATTATTTTAAGCAATGATTATCAAAAGATCAAGTCATAGTTGTTGTACTTCTTTTGCAGCCTGTGATTTATGTATTTTAGCAATCAGGTAAAGTACATGCATTTCATGTTACCTCAATGATAAGGAGCTATGTGAAGCAACCATATATGCTCTTTTGAATTACGATGAAGTTCGAACTTTTCTTGAGTAAGACATATAATTAATAGCTATTTGAATTAGTGTCGAAAGTGTTATATTGACCTAATTATCCAAATTTTAATAATATTACTAGGTTATTTGTAAGGACATTAAATTTTGAAGATAAGAGTATTACCAATATGAAATTTAAAAAAGAGTTTTCAATATAGTACTTTTAAGTCCTACTGGCTTGATAATTCATTAATACGTCTGTTGATATTTTTAATAGGTTCATAATTGTAATAATAAAGCTATAGATGAAGGCTTAATAAATTATCTCTTGGGGCCTAATTGCAACATGAATACTTGTCAAGTATTTGATTGAATTGTCTATAGATTTCTCATGAGTTCTTAGTTTGGAGAAAAAAGATAAATAATTATGGTGTTTGTGTTAAAAGAAATATTCATTATGATAATGAGATTAACTACAATGAGATTCTTCAAAACATAGTGCAGTTATAATATTCAGGGTTATTGAGCGCATTATAATCCATTCAACTATGATTTGTCGATCATGTTCCTAATCAATGACCAAGACCATGCAATTCATATGCATCATGACAATTGAAATGAATAGAAGATAAATCAAATTTGATCCATTCATTATAGCACTTCAAGCTAACTAGGTATATTATATTAGATACCCTATTTAAGCAAAAAAGACAAACTTGTTTGGGTAGTAATTATCAAGACTAAACAAAGCAACTACTAAGGTTTTTATTTTATTATGCAATCGATTAACTTATAGGATGGCATTGGTGCATACGAAGAAGTAAAATATTTTGTGGATGAGTTTAATTACGATGTAGAGGAGGATATCTGTGCTAAGTTGTCCAGAGCCTATGCCTTTTGTGAGTATCTCATAAAGAGACAGATGGTGCGACACAATTGAGCCATAGACTGTAGGAACATGGGTATCACATTACACACTGGAGACTTGATCCCCCATACCTAGTATAGAAGAAGGATGACTTTTTTTAATGCATTAAATGGATTTCTATAACTATTTGTATATGTTAACAGAAGAAAATGCTTAGGCAAGAGCCCACCACCGGTGAGTTGCACCCCCACACTCATCAGCATCAGTCGACCCAATAGTAGGTTAACTAAAAATCTCAGCACGTCTCCATAAACTGAATATTTTTTTTTTCTAAAATTAATTTACAGTTTTATTGAAATGATAATTACATTTTTCAAGCTTCTATAGAAAGAAATGTGTGGCTCTGGCTTAAGGATGCCCAGGTCAGAGCTCCATAAGATTTGATAGCTCTGGTGGTCAGTCTGAGCACTCAAACTTCGAGATCTATAGGGGAAAAATCGGGGGAGGAAGAAAAGGAGGGTCTATAACCATTGTGCATATGAATTTGTTTATGAGGCACAACAGTCTGATTCTGGTCAGAGGTTGTCGTTAGTTAATGTTGAAATTGCTGTGCATGGGCCATAATCACCGAGGAGTTAAGGGTCAACTCCACTGCTGATCAATGTGATAAGGAGTCCAGGTAAATCTTATTAAAAATCATCAATAAGATTTACATACGTGGCACTCAAATGAATTTATATAATTCACCTAAACTTTTATATTTACAGCCATAACACTTTACCCGTAGATGAAGAGTTGAATTTAACTATTAAAAAATGAACATTAGTATTATATTTGTTGTGATATGAAAAAATTGAATGTTGTGTAAATATGTAGGCTTCACCTAAACTTTTATATTTACAGCCATAACACTTGCCCGTAGATGAAGAGTTGAATTTAACTATTAAAAATGAACATTAGTATTATATTTGTTGTGATATAAAAAAATTGAATGTTGTGTAAATATGTAGGTCTTGGTGTGAGATACGTAAAGCAATACGAACTGTATGCAAATGTCCCAAATTATTATCAAAACCATGAATGCGAATTCTGTCAACACACTCCAACATCGCTGGAATCATTTGGATTGAAAAGCGCGTTGATAGTAAATACTTGCCAGGGAAGTATCAACAACTGACTGGCATACACTTGCATTAAACATAGAAATTACTTCTAATCTTAAAACAATTTCTAAAAAGTACGCGCAAGCCAAAAAGATTTATAAAGTACACCAGCCCAATCGTGGGCATGATTCCCCCTCGTCATCTAGAGAATACCTTGTGGACTTTACTATCTGCAAAGATAATGGCTCCAATAGCTTCAAAGTTGCAAAGTACCTATCATGGCTAAGCTCATTGTGATTCTTTGAGCAGCTACAATAAAGCCGCAAGTTACAATCCACGCCCTCTGCGACCTCGGCTTCCACCTCTCTGCAGCAGATAAAATTCTTCAGTCAAAAGAATAAATGAAGCACAACAGAGGTAAAATACCCGGGACTAATTTGCAGAACAAAATCAAGAATAGAAACAAGTACCCTATAAGGTGGTATTCGTCCTCTGGATGGTGATTTTTGCTGTTGTTGTTCCTGTTGTTGCTGCGGCTGCTGCTGAATTGCACCTAATCTTGCTTGTCTATGCTGAGCATTCATCCTAGCGGTTTCAGAAATTGATATGGTTCTTGAAGTTCTTGCTGGCTGGGATTCGCCTGTCTCTGCAGGAGTATTGGGGGTCAACTGCCTAGATGCCAAATTTTGTTGTAAAGAGATTGGAGATTCATCACGAACTCCTGTTGATATTTCAGGACTTCGTTCGGAACCAAGAGTGGTTTGATCAATACTACTATCACGCTTCTCAGAATCGTCTGCAACATCTTCAACATCATTCAACATACTTGCCTCAACAGAATCATGAGCGCCTTGCTCGTCATTGGGAGACACAATCTCAATAGCATCCTCGGCTTCATCACCACTTCCAACTCCTTCTCCAATGCTGAGACCATGCTGCCCTTCATCAGAAACAGGGTCCTCAGGTTGCTGCTCAGGGTCATCTGGCATCAACTCACCTTCTTCCTTGTCGCCTTCACCTTCAGTTGCAGAATACAAAATGTCCTTTGTTCCTGCATCCTTGGAGCCTTGCTCAAAGATCTCAATGGGAGTACTTGGCCTGTCTGACAACTCCTCAATGATTATATCACCATCATATTGAACCTCTTCTGGATTTGCAAAATCAAGGTATTCCCTTTGCTGCTCTTCTGATTCTTCAATGACAGGAACGTTATCCTCAGCTTCCTTCCCTGTGCTGAGAGAACCCTCATTTGAGACTGAAGGCAGTTTATCATGTTCTAACTCATGCTTCGTTTGTGATATTTGCATTTCAGGAACTTCAAATTGGGTTATTCCCTGCAGTGGTGTTGTGTCAGGATTTTCCGATGATTGGGGAATATCAGAAGCTTCAGAGATCACAGAGAGCTCAGGTTCTTTCATCCTCTTATATGGAGGTGGAGCAGCAATATTGATTTCATTTTGTGCCGCAGATCCTTCCAGTATCTCTGGCTCAGAAGCAAGACGTTTACGAGCCACTGTTGGCTGAACTATAGACAAGTCTCCAACTGCTTCACTTTCAATAGATGAATTAAGCTTCCCCTCGGAAGTACTAGAAATTTCCATTCCAGTGACTTCAGCATCAATTATAGGCTCTTCTGGCTTTTCAAGGCTTGGACGCACAAATCTTCTGCCTGGCTTGCGTGTTTCAACAATTGTTTTGCCTACACTTGATGCCTTTTCTCTTTCTTCAGCAAATTTGGAGTTAGGTCTTGGCAGTCTAGACTGCTGAGTTGGAATCTTCTGACCTGTTAAACAAATAAAATGCACAATAGAGATTGATGGGCTACCGAAGCTTTGATAATCTTCCGTTGAAAAATAAAAAGCATAAACTACCTGTAGGAGCAGCAGAATTATCTGAAGTTGAAGCAACTGCAGGAGAAGAAAGGGGTCCCTCAGCATCATTTAGGAAAGAGTTCTTCGCTGCTTCAAAAGAACTAACAGACTGAAAGTATGCCATTGTCTGCGCATCCAAAGAACTCCCTGAAGGAAGCTGGGAAGCTAATAATCCAGTTTTCTGCGGCTCATTTAAAAAGAGAGCAATTTTTTAGTGAACTAACTGCTAAAAATGGATAACAGTTACAAACGATAATTAACTAGACCCAATATTTTCCTTTAGATATTTTTACAAATTAAATGGAACAAAAACTGATAATAGTTATTGAAATAATAAAAGGTGACTACGGAAAGGGGCCACCAGTCTACAAAACTACCTGGGTGTGTTTTAGAAATGTCTCTCTAAATAAATATCTGCGCACAAAGAAACCATATGATAACTATTTGATCCCATCTTAAAATTAAAAATCCAGCGTGCAAATTATTTCTTGAAGTTACCAAGTAATACTTTACTACCCTTGAGTCTTATCACAAAACAACAGATGGTTAAATTGAAATTAATAAGCCCGCAAAATCTTTTGAACATTTGGAGATTATTTTGTGACCAGTCAGAACTGAAGGCAAATTGGAGCCTGAAAAACAGTATATACATAAGTGGAAACACAAAATTACAACAAGAACAAAGAAGTAAGAAAACAAAAGAGCAAAGCCTAAGTTGGTTCCATAAAATCATAAGCAATGGGTAAATTATTTATAGCAACACAGTTTGCTTTGCTGGAAAATGGAAATAAACAGAATTGTGACTGAAAATTATAGGTGTAGATATTTGTTGCTGCTCCTAGAGACAGTTTGTGGCAGGGAATATTGGCTGTTATGGCCCGTCAAACATAGGAATCAATTGAGTGAATCCCGAGTCATCAAAAAGTTGGAGAAATCATGAGGCAGAGATACTTTTGGTGAGAATATCTGTAGTTTCATCCTTGGTTGCATATGGCAGATGATAAGAGCTTTGGAGGAAATGTGATCTATGAGGAAATGATAATTATCTCTATATTTTTGTTTAAGCATAAAAGATAGGAATATTTGCAATGACAATGACTGAAGTGTTGTCACAATAGAGGGAAGTGAGTGTTCTTGTTGATAATCCAAGTTCTTGAATAAGAAAACTCAATCAAATAATATATTATGTAGTTGCAGCTATTAGAGCTTGATCTTCAGATTTTGTGGAGGACTGGGCCACAGTTTTCTGGTTTTAAACACACCAGGAAACCGGTTTGTTGCCAAGAAAGGTGTGTACACCAGAGGTGGAGCAGTTATCAGCAGGATCTCCTGCTCAGTCTGAGTAAGAATAGAAACATAAAAAGGCAACTTCGGGCCTAGTGACTGCTAGCTATTAGAGAAAGCCGTCAAGATAACGGTAGTGAATGGAGGCAGGGGATGTGATACTGAAGTGAACCCAAATCATAATAAAAAACAAATATCACAATAAAAAAACAAATAATATTACTAAATATTAATAGACGGTTAAAACCAAACACAATTTAAAAAGAAAAAATACTGCAAATAAGATAAATTGATATGTTTAAATAGAAAATAACAATAAAAGATAACAAAAACTCAAATTAGGGTGGATCACAGGGTGATGGTGGTGATCAGCAGAGGATTGGAAGGTGGCAAGATAGTGAGCGAGATGGTCGACCAATGGAAAACGACAAAGTAGCAATTTTTTAGGTGCCAGACAGCAAACAGGCAACGGATAATGACATGGAACAACTGCTATAAATGAGGGCGGCAAATGGGGAAGGAGGTAGAGTGGTCAGGTTCTGGAGGCACGTGGGAAGCTAAAGTGATGGCTGGGGAGGATGGGAAAGACAATAACAGTGGGAAGGTTGGTGGCTGGGGGAGGGCTGTCCCAAAGCTGCAACAGTGAGTGGGATGGCTGAACATGCGTACACGACCTACTGGAATGAATGGCAGCAAGGTGGCCTGATTGTAAGGGATGTCAGTGGGTGTACGAGTGGTAGCTAGAGTTCTAGGAAGAAAGCTGGAATGTTGTCTGGTGGTTCCAGCAGTGAGGATAGGCGGCGGCTGCAGTGAGGGGAGGAATGCAGAGCATGAAAAAGTTGGAGCACCACTTGATCTTTTGGAAGGAGATCACCACCTCGGACGAGCTACAACCAAAGGATTACTAGCCACTGGATACAACCTTAAAAAGGAAAATGAGAACGCCAACAATTGTCTCAACAAAAAACATATGACAAATAAAAAAAAACTAAAAACAGGAATCAAATATGTAATCCCTAGCTAATTAGGATTGGGCCCACTGTTCAAAAGGAGGCGCCAAATACACGCAAGGAAATTCAGTCGGCCCTCAATTTGTCATTGTGAAAAAATCATCACTCAAACACACACACAGAGATATATATATAAGCCTAAGCGCAGATATATTAAAGAAAAAGATACAAATAGGTTTGTATGGGTGGGCCTAAACACCCAACCCACACGGTACAACACACACCAAAAAATGTAAAAGATGGGTACATATAGAAATCAAAAAACCCAAAAAACACCAGACAGCTGAAAAAGTGTGAGTCATCCCAATCTAGTTTTGTCTCTGGCTCTAGTTCTAGGTAGGGATTCAGATAGCAGATTGGTAAGGTGCTAACCATTACCCGTAGTAACCAAAGTATCTTCCATAAGACTCCTGAGCTCTAGTACATCTCTATTCTTCTTCTTCCTTCTGAAAGTGTAAACCTGTCATTCCTCCACCGAAGAATCAGCCTGACGGGGTTGATCTGAAGCAGAAGGAATACCGACAGTAGTACCCACAATAAGTTATAAAATATGTGAAGCAGGAGTTGCCTCTACACCGGATACTTCTTGATGAAGAAGTGGAGCTGCGAGACTCTCCTGATTATCAGTCTGAACACTATCATTTATAGGTAATGGTCCATCAGTATTATTTTCTATGGAGTCTATAGGTGTCAGCATCACATCGCTCGCAATAACAGTAACAATAGTGTCATAGGGGGTCCTCAAGGGCAGCAAACACCTCCTATCTGGCAGTATCCTCCTCAGGTGGAACTAAAATGTTCACAGCAGTGGGGTTAGACCCCTCCTTATTCACTTGAACCTTAGATTTCAAAATAGGATGAAGCTTGTGGCATTTAGCAAAGATATGACCAAACATCTTACAGTGGGAACAATATTGGGGTTGGTGTTCCATGAAAATTTGTTACCAATAACCATTATGGATTGTGCTCAGCCAGACTTCAGTAACATCAGGTAAAATAATCTCTTTTCATAAGTATTTTAGCCACCAAGGTTCTGGTTAGGTTGAAAGTAGGCAGATCTAGTTTCAACAAATCCCCAAGGATGACCCCAATAAAGTAGAGAACCTGATGGTGAAAAAAATGTAGCTTGAGGCCAGGTAAACTAAACCATACTAGTATAATGGGAGATTCATGCTTTGGGTCAAAATTAGGAGACCACTTGAGTAACTTCATTAAATTGCTTTCCATATTAAGATATTTCTTGGAGAAAATTCTAGTGTAGTCTTCAAACACTTTTAGTTGGATCAACACATGTCTCTTATTAGTCTCACTTTTCACTTGCCTACTAGCTTAAGATCATCAACCCTCTTTCTGATAGCATCCATAGGAGGGTGTCCCCATTGAAATTTGTCAATAAGAGCAAACTTGAATTTTTTCGTCATGGTAGAAATATCTGATTCAGAAAAAAAGATTTTTTTTTTTCCTCCTTTCCTACTTCCATTCTTAATAAAAGGACAATCATCTGTACCCTTACGATATTCCTTATAACTTGAGGGAAATACCACTGCGGACTCCTACTGAGGGTTACCCACCACGCGGGCAAAGGAGACTTTCTCCTGCTCAACCAAAGAAGAACGAAACACCATCAGAGGCTGTCAACGTTAAACTGTTGCGAGGTTGCTGAAAAACAGGCAGAGGAGTTGTCGAGCGCAGAAGCAGAAGCAGCACCGAAACAGAAGAATTGGGCATAGACGACAGCTGCAAGTGAAGAGGCGTGGAAGACGATGACGTCGAGGAGAGTAGCTGCAAGCATCCACGTCGAGCAGAGGAACGATAGCGACTGAGGAAGACGACGAGAGCAGTAAAGATATCACGACGTGAGCCGCGATAAGGAGTGCGAACGTCAGCGTCAACGATGCGAGATCTTCTCCTTCCAGCGGTAGAATCAATTGCGACCCATACATACATACATACATACATACATACATACATATATATATACATATATATATATATA